TTTTTCAAGAGGATAGCAAAAATACAAATTGCAATGTGTTTGTAAAATTTATTTGTATAATTTTAATGTTATAACAAAGGGTTGAATTAAGCGAATGCAAAACGCAAAATCTGGAAAAATATCTAGTATTCAAAATTTTAGTTTATACAAAACCGTGTTCTTTGTTTTTAAGGGGAGAATCAACTTAAATTTGTAAGCAAAAGAATAAAAAATAAAACAATAAACTAACGATTACAAAAGTAATATCACTCTAGTCACTAACTGCATTACAAAAGTAATAACACTATAATACTGTTAGTACTTTTATAACGTACTTATAACTTTTAAAATTCATTCTTTGTTCAAGCAACATTAGTATTCCCAAATTTTAATTAAAGTAGACAAATATCTAGAAGAATAAAGTGGATGTTCAAATAATATTAAAACTAAAGTAACTTATTAAATCGTGACAAACAAATTTATGAAAATCTATCGTATTAAAAGTTTAGCATTATGAAAAACGTTACTAATGGACCGTAAAAACGTGCGTTAATTTTAAAATTAACCAATAAAATTTTTTCATTGTTTGAATTTAAAAATAACGCGTGTTTTTACGTAACGTTTTGTATAAGGCTATACTTCATATAAAGAATTTTTTTATAACGTTGTTTAAGTGATATGTGAAAGTTCCTAAAATTTCTAATAATATTTGAATATCCGCTTTATTTTTTCTAGATGCTTTTCTACTTAAATAAATGTTTGGAATTAATAATCTTGTTTGAACAAAGAATGAACTTTAAAAGTAATAAGTGCTTTATAAATGTAATAACTCTATTATAGTTTTATTACTTTTATAATGCAGTTAGTGACTAAAGTGTTATTACTTTTGTAGTCGTAGGTTTATTGTTTTTGTTTTGTTTTTTGTAACTTTCTCGCTAGTAAATTTTTAATAATTTGCTCCTTATAAACAAAGTACACAGCTTTGCATAAACTAACATTTTAAAGACCTAATATTTTAGCAGAGTTTGCAAACGCGATCGCATAATTTAACTCTTGATATAAACTTGTTACATTATAATTATACAAATATATTTTTCAAACAGATGACGATACATATTTTCTCTTTCCTTTTTAAAAGAAAAAACACATAAAATATGGGAAAGCCATCCTTTTTAACGCCTAAAACCGTTTTTTTTTTTTTCTTTTTTTTTGCTTTGACTTTATAAATTTTGTTGCCGATAATATTAACCACAAAGAAAAACCAAAAATAAAAACAAAATACAAATTATTTAAACTATAATTATTGTTTTCCATTTAAGTTTACTTTAATTTCTTATGCAGTTATTAAATTTAAAACAATCTTTCAGAAACGCATATAACATAACTTACACAAACGGCCGTCATCACGTTCTCTAATTTGAAAAACGTTTTCTTGGTCGTACGAGAAAAAAAAACTGCACGCCTTTCCTGGGTAGGCTTGATATATATTATAAATTTAAAAATAATAGTTTTATTTAGTTTGTTCTAATTTTTATGTAAAAAAAAAGAAGCGATTTTTAAATAGTAAATGATTAATTATTTTTACGGTGAAGTAAAATAGTTCTTATTTTTAAATTGAGGAAGAATTTTAGGTTAATGCTAATGCAAAAAGTACGAATATTGATAGATTAGCTAATTTGATGTTACAATAAACAAGTAATGAGGACCTTCCTTATAGATGGAAATAGGAAAGATTATGTCATTTTTTCTAATTCTTAAGACGAAGAGGCTTAATCAGTTCAAGCAAAGATGACAATGATCATTAGGTAGCCGATAATGATGTCAAATACGATAATGTTTGATTTGTTTTTGAGTATTTAGATAATGCGTTCAGCGTTTAATTTTTCTTTACAGTACTTATTTAATGCAGCTTAAATAAAAGAAAAGTTTGATTCGTTTATCAGTTTATTAATATTTTTTATTTATTTATGCTTTTTAAGCGCCGTAAAATAAAGTTAAACGTCGCGAAGTTTAAAACGAAAGATTTAGATGGAGTTTAATTAGCGTTTAAAACGAACCATTTAGATATGGTTTAAATGGAACATTCGATTGACCTACGTTCTAAATCGAAACTAAATTAAATCTAAACATTTAGAATTAACTTTAACTAAACGTTGATTAAATGTTCGAATGCCCGTTGGGATATTTAAGTAATCATATTTAATTAACATAACATTCTAACGTTGAGCTAACAAGCGGACAATGTAAAAAAATAAAGAAATATTAACGTAATTCTGCTAACTATAAAAAAATCTTCTGTAAATAATAATTTTTTTTCTTGGCGTATAAGATAATAGATGGCGTATAAGATAATAGAAAATAAGTTTAGTTAAAAGATAATTAGCTAAGTTTGAATGTTTGCATTGTCTTGTAAAAGGCATTCGAAGAGTTTTTAATAATATTTGAAAATAAATAGCACACAGTGATTTAAAACTTTGAATTGCTGATAAAAGATTTAATAAAAGTTTGATTAAAAAAGTTTATTTTAGAAATTAAATATAATATTATAATTATTATAATAATACATTTATTTTACCCTGCTTATTAAACAAATGTTTAACAGTAAGTATTGTATTTTTCAATAAATATTTTATAGCAGTGTTTACGTACAGTTCTTTTCAGATTAACCATAAATACTAATCTCGTTACCATTTAAATGTGTTCAAATTTTAATTTTTTGAACTTTGATAGTACAAATATGATAATTAATGCTGAGATAATAACACAGAAAACTGTTTTCATATTATTATCAGTGGTGAATATATTTTTTTAGTTACTATATGCAAGGCCGGCGCGATAGGGGGGTGTGGGGGGTGCGACACCCCCCCCCCCCCCCATCAATGATTTTTAGTCGGCAAACTGGACCCTTAGTCGGCAAATTGGACCCTTAGTCGGCAAATTGGACCTAGCTAGTCGGCAAATGTGGACCCCCTTTCGATATAGGTTAGACAGTCGGCAAATGTCGTCATGACAGTTGGCAAATTTTGGAAAACGAGGACCTTTTTTTTTTTTTTTATTTAGTCGGCAAAAGTTGTAATGGCACCCCTCCACGTGACACCTACTCGCGCCGGCCCTGACTATATGTAACTATTAAAAGCCAAACTACAGCTAAAACTAAACAAATTATGCACGGTTAATTATCTGAAACGGTTGGAAAAAAATTAAAAACCGGAAAACGGTTCAAATTCCAAAAAAATAAAAAACCGGAAAATAGTATATCGGTTTCATAACTTTGCGATAGGCTGTGGTTATTGTTCCGACACCGGAATAATAACTACTTAAAATCAAATGGCTATTCTTCCGACACACATGCGCGCGCATATATAAATACTTAAAATCTCGATTTATTCCCAAATCAATTTATTTCTAAATCACAATTTCGCAATTTATTTATAAATCACAATTTAAGGTTATTCTACAATGAACACTTTTGAAATTGGCAGGGCATTTTCCTCTTTTAGTGATATGAAGAAGGCGATAGAAACGTTACAAAAGACAACTTATTCCCAGTTTTATATAAAAGATAGCAGAAGCATAGCATCAGCATTTAAACGCACGCCAGGAAAGATAATAAAGCCAGAGCTGAAATATTCCTATATAGTTTTTGCATGTATTGCAGGAGGAAAGAAGTTTGTATCCAAGTCAAAAGGCAGAAGACCAAATCAAAGGTGAGTTTTAATAATTTTTACTGTTTGTTGTGTATAATCTTGTTTTGTATAATCTAAATATTTTTAAATTAAAATATAGTATAATATTTTAATTCCTACTATAATATATTATAAGTTTTGTAAAAAGATAGGATGATTTTCATTTCTATATCATGTTCATTAAGTTTTTATGATATTCTAGAAAGATAGGTTAAAAGTTGTTAAAAGTGTTGTTGCAACAAACTTTTGTAACTGTAATAAAAAAAAATTTATGATTAAGTACATTCAAAATGAATTGCCCAGTGGAAATAATATTAACAGTTGAAAAAGATGGTTCTTGTCTTAAAGTTGCATCTCTAAATATAAATCATAACCATCAGTGTAGTAAGGTAACTTTGTTTAAAATTTTTTTTATTTATTTTAGTATAAGGGTGAATAAAAAAATTTAGATAAACAGATACTGACAGTGTTATCGCTTCTTTACTTTATTTTTTTTTTTTTTAGGTAGCATTCTCTCATCTATCTCATCAAAGAAAGTTAACTGGATCTGCTTCTGATGAAGCAGTCAAACTACTTAAGATGCGATGCAATAAGATGGTCTTGCAAAATCATTTGAAAAACATTACTGGGTAAGTAATAACAGGTCGTGACCTGTCGAATATAAAAGCAAAACATGTCACATATTCCATAGAAAAAAATAATGTAGAAAGTATTGTTAAAAAATTGCAAAATAATGAAGGTAAGAAATGCTTAAAACAGATACATCTTTTTAAGATAAAAAAATAGCTCTTCCTTTTATGTTTTTGTTACTACTTAGCAGTTTATCAAATTATTTTATAGATTGTAACCCTTATAAACGGTTCCCTAGGGTTCTAAAGAAAAAACTCAGTACAATAAAATTTTAGTTGCTTTATAGCAATTACGTCCCCTAATGAGTGTAGCTATTTTATATGTTTTTGAAATTTTGATTATGAAAGAATGAGTGAGAAGCAAATAAACAATTTGTAAATCAAAAAATATTTGAAATATTTTTAAACATAATTTTGAAAAGTTCTTCTTGTAAGATAATTGCATGCTTTTTAATCATCTTTCTAGGGTCAACAACGGAAGTTATTGCAGATGAAAACAATAATTTGCTGGGTATTTTTTATCAAGACCAGGCAATGAAGGATTGTTTCTCTGCATTTCCAGAAATGCTATTTATTGATTCCACATATAAACTTAACAATTTGAATATGCCATTATATATTTTGTTAGGAGAGGATGGTAATGGCCATAGTGAGATATTTGCAACATTTCTGGTAGCAAATGAGGAGAAAAAAAATGATTGAATTAATGATACGCATTTTTAAGAAGGTCAATCCTAATTGGGAAAAAACATTAAATATTATGTCAGATAAAGTTATGTCAGAGAGACAAATTTTAGGAATAGAGTTCCCACAAGCAAATTTGGATTTATGTTTGTTCCATGTCTTAAGGACCTTTAGAAGGGAATTGACATTAGAGAAGATGGGTATTACATCTGAAGAGAGACGTTTATGTTTAGAGATTTTGCAAAAAATGACTTATGCAAAAACAGAAGAAGACTATGCCAACCTTTATCAATCTCTGAAATCAACAAAAATTAATAGTGTTATTTGTTATTTTGAAGACAATTGGCATAAAATACACAATGAATGGGTTGAGGGTCTGAAATCAACAAATCTAACATTCCTGAACAGAACCAATAACAGACTGGAATCTTTAAATCAAAAGATAAAACAAGTTTGTTCTAGAAACACAAACCTTGGACAGTTTTTTGAAGATTTTTTGGTATTTTTACAGTCCACAAGGGTAATGCAAGATCACAAAGCAATAAATGTTTTTCATAAAAGACCTGTTATTCTTTATGAACCTGGTTCTGTTGAAGAGTCTTACAAGAAATTGTTAATACCTTATGCATTTAGTTTTGTTTTAAAGGAATTAGAATTAGCATCAGAAGTAAGGTCATTAAAAAAGCTTCCTCAAAATCAATATGAAGTTACAACAACATATGCTAAATTAAAAGTGACTGTTCTGTCTTGTGATTGTGGGTTCAGGTCTGCAATGCTATTGCCGTGTAGACATATTTTTGCAGTTAGAAAAGTGGAAGAAGTTGATTTATTTAACAGAACACTGTGTTCACCAAGATGGTCATTAGACTACTAAAAATCAAAGCATCATGTTGCAAAATCTCTGGCGCCGGGTAATCCTGGTCAATATGGTGTAGTTACCAGTAACGAAAAAGCAAAAACAACTGCAATTTTGTCACAAAATGAAAAATACAAAAAAACTTTACAACTGTGTCATAAATTGGCCTCCATTGTATCAGAGTCTCCTATGAGGGAATATGAGAATAGATATGACTTACTTGCAAATGTTTTAGATTTTTGGAAAAAAGGTATCGATATTGGCATACAAAAAAGAAATGGTTAGTGTAGTTAAATATAAATAGAAACCATTTTTAGTGATAATATCGTAATCTATTTTTAAATATAATTGTAGTTTATACTTTATTATTAATTAGTTATATGAAAACATATAAATTTTTATATGTAAATATACACTTTATTTATAAACTGTGTATGTATATATATATATATATATATATATATATATATATATATATATATATATATATATATATATATATATATATATATATATATATAGACCTTATATTTGTTTTTATATTTATTTTATATATATACTTTATATTTATATATTATTAAATCACTGCATTTATTTTTAAAGTAGATGAAGTCCATGTTGAAAATCTAGAGCACAGCAATGATGACATAGAAGTAGCTATCAGTAACATGAATAATAACGATTTATCATTTACTGTAGAACCAGGTAGATAGTCGTGGTGAATCTGTGGATTATGTTTTATTTAAATTAAAAATTGTTGAAAAAAAATAACAGATAGTCGTGGTGAATCTGTGCATTATGTTTTATTTCACTTAAAAACTGTTGATAAAAAATAACAGATAGGCGCTATTTTAATTCAGTTATATATTCTTGATTTATAAATTATTTTTAGGTGCATATTACTTTGAAAAGATTTTTAACATGATAGATTTTAGTTATTGCTTTTTATAGAAGATATAGCCAATGGAGATAAAGTTGATGGTTTAAATCACAACATTGATGATGACGAAGTAGACATTCAAGTAGAAAAGCATGTCAGTAAGATGCAAAGCAATAAGGATTTATTGCATAATGAAGAACCAGGTAGTCACAGTATTGAATCTGTGCAATATCTTTCTTTTGAAACAGTTATATTTACTATATAAACAGTATATTTCTGACTTGAAAACAGTTGAAAAAATCAGATAGACTTTAAATCTTTTACTTGACTAATCAATTTTTATATTCTTTATTTATGAATTATTTTTGGGAGCATATTTTCTTTTAAATTTTTTTTTTAAAGTTGATTTTATTAATTTCTATTATATAGAAGATATAGTCAATGAAGATAAAGTTAATATTGTAGAGCATAACAATGATGAGATAGAAGGACACATTCAAGGGGAGAGCACCAGTAAAAATAAAAACAATGTAGATTTTTTGCCAGGTAGTTGCAGTCATGGTGAATCTGTGCATTTTATTTGAAAACTATTGCAAAAAAAAAAGAAAATAAAAAAAAATTTTTTTTAGATTAAATTTATTTCAATGTAATTGTATTTATTTTAGATATTTCGATGATAAAATTTCCTCCTTTTACTGCAAAGAGAGGGCGTCCTAAAGGAGCAGAGCTCACAGTAATTGGATTGCCTGCCAAGAAAAAAAAGTATAGACAGGCTTCTAATGGAAAACCAGTTCCTTTTATCCAAAAACAACCTAATGAAAAATTTGAAAGTAAATCTTTCAAATAATGTAGTTTTCATATTTTTCAATATTTAATATTTTTATATAATTTTTTTAATTTTAATTTCAGTTATGCTTTGTTGGATATTGTCTAAAGAGGATGTTAAAAAAGCTATGTAGGGTTCTTTGATGGATAAAAATAGTGTAGAGGTATGCCCAGAAAAAGTACACCCCAGCATAATAGATGATGCTATTAATGTTGGGAGTATACAAGCATTCTTTACAAAGGAAGCATGGCTGCTGGTTAATCAAGTTATTGATAAGGTGAAGCTTGCACCTAACTGGACATGCACAGTTTGTAAAGAAAGAGTTAAAGAAGAATGTATTAGTTGTGACTCATGTCTGAATTGCTACCACTTTCAATGTGCTAGCCTGAAAAAGTCCCCAAAATCTAGATTTTGGTTTTGTAATAACTGTAATTCAAAATACTTAAGTATATAATATAATATATATTTATGTATATATGTATATATATATATATATATATATATATATATATATATATATATATATATATATATATATATATATATATATATATATATATATATATATATATATTTTATATATATATGTATATATATATATATAATATATATATATATATATATATATATATATATATATATATATATATATATATATATATATATATATATATATATATATATATATATATATATATTCGACACAGTCGACACAGTTGATCATAGTATTTTAATTAAAAAATTAGAGAACTACGGTATCAAAAATATTAACATAGCTTGGTTTAAAAGCTACTTATCTAATAGAAAACAGTATATTTCATTCGGCAATAAAAAAACTAACAATATGACAATTACTTGCGGCGTTCCTCAAGGATCTATATTAGGACCACTCTTATTTTTAATTTATATTAATGATTTAAGCAAAGCCTCTAATATTCTAGATTCTATCTTATTTGCTGATGACACAAATTTCTTTTATTCTCATAGTGATATAACAGCATTATTTAAAACGGTTAACATTGAACTCCTAAAACTAACCGAATGGTTAAATATGAACAAACTTTCAATTAATTTAACTAAAACTAAATATACTATTTTTCATCGCCTCCATAAAAAAGAAAAAATTCCTCTTGAACTTCCAAAACTTATTATTGGAGATTACATCGTAAAAAGAGAATGTTCGATGAAATTTTTAGGTGTAATTCTAGATGAAAACATAAAATGGAAAGACCACATAAACATGATTGAAAATAAAATTTCTAAAAATATTGGATTACTCTATAAAGCAAAACCATTCTTAGATCAATCCTGCTTGAAATACATATATTACTCATTTATACATTCTTATCTTAATTATGCAAACATTGCTTGGTGTAGCACCAATAAAACAAAGATAAAAAAGCTATTTAGCAAACAAAAACATGCAATTAGATTATTATCAAATGCACACCGCCTCTCACATTCAAGACCATTGTTTAACAATCTAAAAATACTAAATGTGTACCAAATAAATATATATCATCTTCTGATTTTTATGTATAAAATTAATAACAATTCAATACCAAATATCTTCAAACCATTATTTAATAAAATTTAACACAAATACGTAACTAAATATTCTAACAACAACTTTGTTCAACCCAAAACTATATACGACTCCACCAAGTTTTCAATAACTGTTAGAGGACCTAATGCATGGAATAAGATAATCAGTAATGATATTAAAACACTTAAAACTCTTGATCAGTTTAAACAAAAACTAAAACTATTACTTTTAAATAATGAACAAACAGATAATTATTTTTAAATCTATCTATAAAAATATTATATTTTAAAACTATCTACTAATGCATACTTTATTTGTCTGGAAGGTCTAAATTCTTTAATTTTATATAGGTATTACAGTCTGTTATATTATAAAAAAAGTACTTATAAAGATTTTTAGCATTTTTAGATTTCATTAGTTTAAATAAATTTATTAGTTTTCTTAAATAAGAGAGAGAGAGGAAAAATAAAAAAAGTAATCTTTTTTGAGTTTTAATTTTTTATATTAATATTTTGTAATTTGTTTTTGAGGAATTAATATATTACACTTTATAAGAACAGATTGTAAATTAAATTTTACGTTTACTTTTTTCATGTTTTTTAGTTTTTTGATATTTTTGTTTTTCTAAATGAACTTTTAAATTTTTCTTTCAAAAAATAAAATCGAAAAAATATCTTTCAAAACTTTGAACTATTAAACTATTTGGCATTTTATATAAACTTCTTTGTAATATTTTGCTTTTTTCTTAATTTTTTAATTTTCATTTTAGTTACCATGTATTTATATAAATGTCTAGACAAACAAGGGACTTGGTGATAAGACAACCCCGTCTTCTTCTCGTCCTTGCCATTTTTAAATATTTTAAATTACGGAACTTGTAAATATTTGTACGGCTAAATTATAAAATAAAAAAAACAAAAAAAAAAAAAAAATATATATATATATATATGAATATATGTATATATATGTATATATATGTATATATATATATATATATATATATATATATATATATATATATATATATATATATATATATATATATATATATATATATATATATATGTATATATATATATATATATATATATATATATATATATATATATATATATATATATATATATATATATATATATATATATGTATATATATTTAAATATATATATATGTATATATATTTATATAAATATATATATATTTTTTTTTTGATTAAATTTACTTATCTATATATAAAATAGTTTCCTTTGAATGTCCATTTGTTTGTTGTTTGATATAAAGCTTAATTAATTTTGCTTTAAAAATAACTACACAATCGTCTATGATTTGATTCTTCTGAGATATAATACTTTTTACCTTTAGTTGCTATTCTATACTTTAAATTAGCTTTATCATTCATTTCATTATAAATTTTTCATTTATATTTTGTTTGTTTTGAAGTTATTTTAGAGAAATTTGTTTTTGTTATTTGTTAATTTGCACATAGTTTTAAATTTTGCTTTTTGGTTAAATGACAGTTTGCTTAAATGACAGTTTAGAAGTGACAACATAAAGTTTAGAATGATCAACTTGTTTGTCAGAAAATTTTTTTATATTTTATTTTTTGGTTACATGACAGTTGAGTTAGATGTCAGTACAGAAATGACAAAATGACAGTTTTTTTGTTTTTTTTTAACATCTTCACTTCCAACAAGGCTGCAAGCAACCACTATAAGAGTTGGAAGTTACTGGAAGAGAAAAGACTAAATCTGTAGAGCAAGATAACG